CTGTGGGGTGCGGTCCTTGGTCTGGGCGCCTCCCTCTCAGCTGGATGGGAACCTCTGTGGGGCCACAGGGTTGGGTCCATGACTCATTGTGAGTTCTCGTGCATTTGTTCTTCCATCTGAGAGTCCTTCCCGGCCACCCAGTTGTGTGGTCACTAACGCTATACACTACGTATACTATATACAGGATGGAGACCCGCCCGCCCAGAAAATGTAGCTGTGGTCCCCACTGTTGGCCTGCTGATAACCAGTGAATCCTTCTGAAGTTTCGTGGTCTTAGTTCAGGGGTGATATCATGTCTGTCATCTTCACTTGAAGCTACTAAAATGTTTTGTTCTGGGCTGGTGGCATTAGGGACTTCTGTCATTCGGGGCTGCAGAGGTAGACTCGGACCTGTTTAAAGGTCAGCCGGGTGGCTGGTGCAGAAGGGCTGCCTTGCTCCAGCCTTCGCCCCCCACGGCACAGCCACCTTCCCGGACACCCGGTCAGGGAGGAGACCCTCCTGCTTCTTCCGCCTCTCCGCCTCCCTCCCTCCCTCCCTCCCCCTTTCCTCCCTTCCTTTCAGCATCTTTGTGGAGACGTCATTTACCTGTCCTCTATTTCACTCACTTAAAGTGTACAGTTCAGTATTTTTAGTCTGTGGAGTTGGACGATCATCACCATAGTCAATTTTAGAGCATTTGCCTCACCAGCCGTGACTCCCCAGTCCCTCCTCCCCAGCCCCTGGCTGCCACTCATCTGCTTTCTGTTTCTGTAGACTTGCTTATTCTGGACATGTGCTTATTCATGCGTGTGGGATCATATGAATGTGGTCTTCGTGACTGGTTCCTTTCGCTGCGCGTGATGTTTCCAGGCTTCATCCACGTGGGAGCGGCTGTCAGCCCTTCATTCCTTGTTGGAAGCTGACGGTATATTCCGGCGTGTGCCTGGTCACCCACCGATGGGCCTCGGGACTGTTTGCGCACTTTGGCTATTTGGAGTTGAAGCCGTTGCATCCTCTTCCCAGCCCCAGAGTCCCCTCCACCCCCAGCCCTCCGCTCCCATCCTATTCTCCGTTTGTTTTCATCACCATCATGAGCTGGGAGTTTTGACCACCATGTATGTATCCGACACGGTAGATAGTTTCATTTTCTCGTTTTAAAAACTTTTTATAGATGACATCATACTGTGCATATTCAAGTTACTCTTCAGTGGTAGGCTTGTAAGTTCACCGATCTTGGTTCTTGTAGTTCCTTCGTTTTTATTGTAGTTAGTATTCCATTATAGGTGTATGTTCCAGTTTGTTGGAACTCAGTTGGAACTCAGTTGATAGTGGACCAAGGGATAATGTGAATTCATTCTTCAGTTGATGATGGATAAAAGTTTTTCTTAATTTTTTTTTTCTTTTTAGCGTTAGCGACATCGCTGAACCTGCCTTCTGCATCCTTACACAAGGGGTTTTCATGGCGTGTGCCTAGAAGTGGCATTATGTCGTGTGTATCTGCTTTTTGTGAGGAATCACTGGGGTCCTCTTTAAAGCAATGAGTTACTGTGGTGTTTTTAAGCAGTACAATTCATTAAAAAGTTTATTGGTGAACATATTTTTTAAAGAAAGATTTCATGATGTGCTACTTATTCTTTTAAAATGGCTTTAGATGAAGCCTGTTTTTCTTTTTGGCTATGCAAGACCAGATAAAAATACAATTTTAATAAGATAAAATGAGATGCCTTTTAGTCTGAGCTTGAACTTTGCTGGAACATTTTCTGCTCAATAAACACAAGTGGTGTGCCCATGAAGAATTAATGCACTGGCGCTTTCCTGGGAGGCAAGGGGCCTGCAGCTTGTGGTAACACTGCAAGACCCATGGAAATGCCTTGCACATAGAGGGCAGAGGCCCACTGCCTGCTGGTTTTGAGCCCTATTCGTGTACTGAGACATAAGGGAAGGGTGCAAGCCAGCAAGGTAGGTGCATAGTACCGGTGAATGCTGTCTGTAGGTCACTTGGCGGTAGTCAAGCTGCTGCCATTTATGGCTGTCTCATTTCTTACACGTTCTTATTCCCATTTCCGAGACGAGGAAGCTAAAGCCTACAGCAATTACCCAGGCCCTTTGGTTCTTAAAACAGGAAACCTACCAAGGTCGGGGAAGCCTCCAAGAGATTTCTGGAAAGGGACCACGACAGAGGGGTTGTGCATGACCTCCGTGGGCTGATACTCTTTCTTTCCAACAATGACAACAAACCCCCAAACCCTCCTGGATTCTGTGGGTCAGACTGGTCTCTTTTCCATGGTGTCACTGGGAAGGTTCAGAGGCTGGGAGGGAAATCAGAAGAAGGCTGGTGACTCACGCCTGTCGAGGTTGATGCCGGCCGTCATCAGCTGGGACACCCCCTTGAAGCTGTTGGTTCTAGTGCTTACATGTGGGCTTCTTCAAAGCCTGGTGGCTGGGTTCCAAGGGAGAACCCAAGAGAACCAGGTGGAAACTGTGCTGCCTTTAAAAACTTACATCTTCATTGAGACTCACATATAATAATAGTTCACCCATTAAAATTCACGTACAACACCATTCCCTCATTTAAGGGGTGAAAGTCAGTGGTACTGCGGTGTATCCGTCGCCACAGTCAACGTTAGAATATGTTTGTCCCCTCAGGAAGAAGCCCTGTAGTCTTCTGCTGTCACCCCAGTCTCCCATCCTCCACCCAGGCAACCACTAGTCTCCCTTCTGTCTCCCTTCTAGACATTTCATGTCAGTGAGATCATAGAATAGGTGTTTTTTTTTTTAAGATTTTTAATTGTTTGACAGAGAGGGAGTGTTAGTGAGAGCAGGAACAAGCAGGGGGAGTGGGAGAGGGAGAAGCAGGCCTCCCTCGGAGCAGGGAGCCCGACGTGGGGCTCGATCCCAGGACCCCGGGATCAGGACCTGAGCCGAAGGCAGACACCCAACGGCTGAGCCACCCCGGCGCCCCAGAATAGGTGTTTTTTCATGACTGGCTTCCCACGCGTAGCGTGATGGTTTCAAGGTTCTTCCGTGTTACAGCGTGAGCTAGCACTTTATTTTTTAGCTGATGACTATTTCACTGAATAATATTCCAGTTTACCATGTTTTTGTTGTCCAAGAACATTATAAATGCCAATTCATTTTTTTTATTTTTGTAGGTAAACTTAAAGGTTCGTGCGAGTTTGGAGTCCAGTGTGCTTGTCTTTGCCTGCCTCGTACTCCTCATAACCCCGTCGCAATGTGGGGGCTATCGAATGTCCGTTAAATTTTGCTGAAACATTTTAGGATATAAAAGGGAACATTTTCTGTAATTAAAATGTTGTGTCACAGGCACAGACATGGAGGAATGAATGGAAAACTGAAAAAATGCCCCAGCATAGAGTAATCTCCTGCGTATTGAAGACAGTGTCCGCAAACCAGTAGGGAATAGGATAGGTTTTTAACCAATGTCATTGGAGCAGTGGATTATTTTTTAAAAAAGTTTTCTGCAGGCGCCTGGGTGGCTCAATCCTTAAGCGTCTGCCTTCGGCTCAGGTCATGATATCAGGGTCCTGGGATCGAGCCCCACATCGGGCTCCCTGCTCGGCGGGGAGCCTCCTTCTCCCACTCCCACTGCTTGTGTTCCTGCTATCGCTCTCTCTCTCTCTGTCAAAAGAAAAAAATGTTTTCTACAGTCTGTAGCAAAATAAAATAAATTCTAGGTGACTCAATACTCAAGGGTAAAAAATAAAACCACACAAGTGTGGAACTAGGACACAGTTGGAGATTTATGCCATCTCAGTAAGTCGGCTGGGCTGAATGTTCGTGCGCTCCCAAAACTCACAGGAAGCCCTACCCACCAGACTGAGGGTGTTAGGAGGTGGGGGTTTTGAGGGGGTGAGGAGGTCCTGAGGCCAGAGTCCCCCATGGTGGGATTGGAGCCTTTATAAAAGAGACCCCAGAGAGCTTCCCTGCCTCTTCCGCTGGGTGGGGACGCAGCAGAAGGCACCAGCTGAGGCCCTCACCAGATACCAAATCTGCCAGCGCCTTGATCTTGGACGTCCAGCCTCCAGAACTGTGGGGAATAAATGTCTTTGTTTATAAGCTGCCACATGCGTGGTATTTTTGTTATAGCAGCCGGGATGGACTAAGACAGTTGGGGGTGGGCCTTTTTAAGTAGAGTCCTCAAAGGAGAGCCCCATGTAACGCATAAAAGTGAGGTTGACTTAACCACAGAGACCTTTAAGCTTCCATAAGCAAGAGGATGGCTTTGTCACCTGTCTTTCACCATTCTGTTCTCTTTTGGTTTTCTGCTGCTGCTGTAACAAATCAGCATAACCCTATTGGCTTATAATACACACTTGCTGTCTTATAGTTCTGGTGCTGGGCTAAGATGAAGGTGTTGGCAGGGCTGCAGTGCCCCCGAGACCCGTGCTCTTTCTCATCTTCCTGCCGTGCCCGCGTTCTCGGGTGGTTGATATCTCCTGCTCATTTCTCATGGTGGCATGAGGCTGGGGAACCTCTAGGCCTCACATGTGTGTTCCAGGCAGATGAGGAAGGGCCCACACTGCTGGTGACTGAGCTGCGCTGGGTCACAGGGCCTCCCCTGGCTGGACGCCCCCGCCGAGGAAGGGGTGCGGGTGCGGCCACTCAGTGGACTGCCCTGGTGTCTGCCACGGGGGCTGTTTTGTTTCCATCTGTTTTCCAAGTTTACTCTGATGAACAGAAGACTTTATTTTTAAATTTAATTTTTATCTTTTTTAAAAAGATTTTACTTATTAGAGAGGGAGAGAGAGAGAGAGAGAGAGAGAGAGAGAGGGCACGAGTGGGGGAGCAGCAGTGGGAGAGGGAGAAGCAGGCTTCCCGCGGAGCAGGGAGCTCAATGTGGGGCTCGATCCCAGGACCCTGGGATCATGACCTGACCTGAAGGCAGACGCTTAACCGACTGAGCCCCCCGGGCGCCCCCAGAAAACTTTTATAATAAAATCATTAAGTCTTTATAAAACACATTTATCTTCTTTTTGTGATTCTGCATTCTGTTTTTGACGAAATGGCAGCAGATGGGAATTTCCAGACGGGCATTTCAGCATTAGTTCGTAGTCCTGCCGCTGGCACACGGTCCGGGAGCAGAGGCTGCTGGAACTGGGCGATGCTGAGTGGCTCCCAGCTCCCAGCAGCCTCGTCGGCAGCGGCGCCTGAGGCCCTGCCGATGCGGTCAGGGCTGCGGCTCCCCGGGCTGAGGCCCATTTGCCCGGCAGGCTGAATGCCCCGTTGTGTGTGTGGCGTGGACCTGTGTGGCGCCATTCATCCCTTCCAGACGGGCCCTCGGGACCCGTGGCAGCTGAGGGAGAGTTGCTGCTCAGGCGTGTAGGTTACTGGGAACTGGTCCTTTTCCCGAGTTAGTGTGGGCTCTTGAGGAAGCTGGAGAGAAGCTAATCGGTTTTCCTTTCTTTTTAAACAGCATCCAGCATGTGTACGGCGCCCAGCACCCCCCCTTCGACCCACTGTTACACGGCACGTAAGTGAGGCCTGTGGTCATGCTGCATCACGCACGCGCCTGGGCGTCCTGGTGACCCGCCGGCCTCCTCGGGGTCCTGAGGGGAGCAGCGTGGTCTTCCCTCGAGCAGACACGCGCCAGGGCCTCGCACGACTGGTCCTCCGGACAAGGGCAGAGGAGGAAGCCCAGCCCAAAGTGGAGGAGAGCACGAAGCTGGCACCCCCTTAGCTGATGGGGAGGGCCTGGCCCCGGGCCTGTTCTCGGTGGTCAGCTCACTTCCCTTGCCCTCCACTGCACGCTCTGCCCCTGTGTCTGGCTCCTCCACCAGAGCCACGCAGGGGGCTGGTGTGACCCCCCGCCCGTGCTGGCGGGTGTCACTGGGCCCCCCGCGGGGGCTCTTGCCCTAGTGGTGCTGTGTCGCGTCTGCACGCCGAAGGACAGCCGCTCCTGCCCCCGCCGCCCCCACTGCTGCCTTCGGTTTGCGGGCACTGGCCCGTGTGAGGTTTGGGGACTCCCTGTGAATGCCGTGACTGCGGTGCTGGGGTTCCTCCTGAGTGGCTTCTGTCACTGAGCAGAGACTGCTCAGCGGTACTGCCCCTCGAGAGCCTCTCCTTCCTGCGCCCGAATCCTAGGAGTCCTCTTCTGTTTTTTTTTTAGGATTATTTATTTGAGAAAGAGCGAGGGCACAAGAGTGGGGGGGGTAGGGAGGGGGGCGAGGGAGAAGCAGACTCCCCACCAAGCAGGGAGTCGGATGTGGGGCTCGATCCCAGGACCCCGGGATCACAGCCTGAGCCGAAGGCAGACATTTAACCGACTGAGCCCCCTGGGTGCCCCAGGAGTCCTCTCTCGGATGCCTCTTTGGGTTGTGCTTGCTCTTCACCCTCAGCTCAGTTGACACTGGAAGCTTGAATGTGCACCTTTCATCCAAGGGCTCCTTTCTGACCGGTCGTGGGGTGAGTCCGCTCCAGCCTCCGAGGGGACAGCTGAAGTCTGCCTTTGCTTTGCAGCTTGCTCAAGGGCGCGCCGAAGGTGCCCGCCACACCTGTGAAGGCCAAGAGCATCAGCACCTTCCCGGAGTTTGGGAGCAACACCAGCGACGCCTGGGATGCCGGCGAGGACGATGACGGGCTCCTGGCCGTGGCAGGCGAGAGCCTGAACACCGATGTGGTCATGGAGACGGCCCACCGCGTCCTGCGCAACCACAGCCAGCGGCAGGAGCGCCGCAAGCCGCAGGAGGCGCCGGGCCCCGAGCAGGAGCCACAGCCTTCGGCAGAGCCTCCTTCGGTCCCGAGCGGTGACCTCCGGCTGGTGAAGTCCGTCAGCGAGAGCCACACATCCTGTCCTGCAGGTGGGCGGGGGCGCGAGGAGATGACGTGCAGTGCTGCGAGGGAGAGGGGCTGGAGGCCTCTCGGTGCGGGAGGTTAGCGGGCGTTCCGTCCTCTTTGCCACAGGAGCTCGTGCCCTTGGAAGACCTTGAGGTTGTGATCCACGTGCCCACAGGCCTTCCCAGGCAGGAGAAGCCGTAGACTTTTCTTTGTGTCCCCAGCTGAGTGCTTCTTTCTCTCCTCCGGTTGGAGGGTGTGGTGTGTGGCTTTCGTGGCCTGGCTGTGAGAGGCCCACAGTGAGCACCAGGCCCCAGGGGACTGTGTCTCCCTTCTGAGTGTGCCCCGGTTGTCCCAGGGGGAAATTTCCAGCTCAGGGGCCAGGCCAACTGCACGTTCAGAGGCTGCACCTCCTCCGGCAGCTTCCAATGACACCCCTCCCCCGCCGGGACACCTGCACGTGGCTCAGAGTCTGTAGGGGGCAGAGTCTGGGGTGTGGAATGACTGCCTCCAGGTCATAAACTCAAGGATGCGATCAGCGCATGTCTTGTACCCCGTGCCTGGTGCTCAGTAGCCTTTCTGGAGACGGCTCTCAGTAGCTTTGCTTTTTGTTTTTGGGGGTGTCTATGATGTAAAACAACCCAGTATTTGATGAGCCTCTGTGATGGGCCAGACTCTTAGGGCTTGGGGTGCCCCCAGGAAGTCCCTGGCCTGGAGTGTGTGTTCTGGTGAGGGGGACAAGCACCGACCTACACGTTGGGTCAGTAAGGAGGCCTGAATCGTGCGGGGAGGAGACAAGCGCCCTGGGTCGAGACAGAGGTGGGAGGTGGCGACAGCAGCCTGGACCTGGGGCGTAATCTTCAGTCAGAGCGTCCAGATGCCCTCCTGAGAAGGTGACACGAGCATCAGTGAGGTGAGGCAGTGAGGCGTGGGGAGCTGGTGGCAGAGGGGCCGGCCTGCACCGCGGCGGACTCACGGCCTCCCTCTCCCAGGGTCTCTGGGGGTCAGGGGGACTGCCCCTTGTTTACAGAGGAGAGAAGAGGGCATCGGGCAGCCTCAGCTTGCCCTGCTGGGACCACGGAGCTGGCGTTCATCCCCCTGTCTAGTTTTCAGAAACCCGTCCCGGGAGCTGACTAATGTTTGGAACATCACACGTCTTCGTGGGTGAGAACGCTGTGAATTAGTTCCTTTGACCAGTTTTCATATTGGAATCTGAACTGTTTTTCTCCAAAATAGGCTGAACTTCAAAGTATTTGAGTTTAAAAATGAAAATCTGGTTAGGGCTTCTGCGAGTGGGTCGGGGTTCCCCGAGACTGACGCATCCTATGCCGATTACCGCCTGCGCGCCCCAGCCGGGCAGTACCCTCAGCCTGGGTGCCTGTTCAAGTTGGCAGGTGCCCCGGATTCCTCTGCCCTCTGCTGTGCCCCACGCCTCTGGGGCCTGGGTAGAGCCTCTGTGACACCTGCCATCTGAGCAGTTGCTGGGGGGCGGGCCTCAGCACCCGTAGAGGTGGGGGCCCATCTCGGCTGAGCGGGCAGGCTCCTGTTCTCTCAGGCCGTGGGGCTGCTGCGAAGAGCACCACAGGCCGATGGTGCATGAGCAGCAGAAAGTTAGGTCTCCTCGTTCTGGAGGCCGGAAGTCAGGTCAGGCGGCCAACACGGTTGGGTCCTGGCTCTCTTCGGGGCGCAGACAGCTGCCTTCTCACAGTATCCCAACATGGGGGAGACTAGAGAGGGGAAACGGGCTGTCTCGTGACTCCTCAGGAGCACCGATCCCATCAGGGGACCCCACCCTCCTGACTTCCTCTAAACCTGAGGCCCTTCTTCCTAACACCGTCCCGTCTGGGGAAGGACTTGCGCATACGGACTTTGGGGCCTCACGGCATTCAGCCCATGGCCAGGTATGCAGTTGGGCTGCATCCTGCCAGGGTGGGGAGCCTTGGGGTGGCCTCCTCCTGTAAAAGCCAGGTGAAGGATACCCCAAGCGGCTCATGCTGGGGAAGGGGCCGATTACTGTGTTTGCCTTCTGCCTCCACCCGCTGGCGCATCAACCATCTTTCCTTTGCTTTCTGAGCAGGCTTTTTGTGAGCAGTTCATTTCATGATAGCAGCTAGTGTTTGTCCATCGCTTACTGTGGGGCAGAGACTGTGTCGGGCCCTCGTCATGAACAGATCCCTCTGACTTTGCAGCCAGTCTAGGAGAGAGCTTACGGGGGAGGTATAGGGAGGTCACGTGGCTCGCCCAGCATGCTGAGCGGTGGGGTAGGGTTCAAGTCCAGGGCGTCTGAGGCCAGGGCCTGCTGCTAGCTGCTGACCTCCCCACAGAGAGCAGGGCCTCTTTGCTGGTGATGCCGCCCCCAGGGGACATGAGGTCCTGTGTTAGGACCTTTCCTGTTAACATCTGGGGCAGGGAGTGTGTGCTCCTGGCATGAAGTGGGCAGAGACCAGGGTGCCTGGCCCCCAGGGGACTCTCTGGCCCGACCGTGCACAGTGCCAAGGGGGAGAGGGCCGCTCTGGAGCCCGAGGTGGCCTCTCAGGGAGCCGACCCCACGGGTGGCTGGCAGTGGTGCGCAGAACTCGTGGGCCTGTGTTCAGTTCCCTTGGTGGGCTGTTAGTCGTGGGGCTGGCTTACTCGGTGTTGGCGCTAAGACGACCACGTCAGCCCTCATTCTTACTGGGCTGGGCCCGGCGCAGATGTGTTGACTGGCAGGCAGTCTAGTGGGGAAACACAAGGATCTGAGTCTTTCACCTCCCTGGGTGGAATGGAGCCTTGGAGTGATGGACAGGACCCAGAAGCACCCAGGGGTAGAAGTCCCAGTTCAGTCTTGTTGGGGAGGGCCAGGACGTGTCAGGGAAGGCTTCACGGAGGAGGTGATGTCTCTAAGGTTACCGGTAGGGTGAGGCTCCAGGCTTAGGAGGTGGGGCCATCCCAGCTGAGGGGAGGTGCCGGGTGGGCTGGGCTGGCTGACTGCACACCTCATCTACGTGGTTTGCAAGTTCCCCCAAGGCAGGGACCATGCCCCATTACCTTTGTTTCCCTTTGGGGTCCTGTGTCATTACGTGAATGTTGCTGAGCTAAACTGAGGTGTCTTCAGGGCCTGGTGACCGCGGGCTCTCCCCTCCTCCATGTTCTGCCCCACTCTTGTCCCTGCACCGGCCCCACGGCCCAGGGCCAGGCCAGGCCTCTGTTGAGGTGAGGGACCTGTGAGTGCCATTTCATGTGACTGTGCTCCTCGGAGCGGAGTTGTGTTTCTGGGGCCTGGACGCTGTGTTTCACGGGGCCCAGTCTGATCAGAGTGCTGCCTGCCCTTCCCACTGCCGGCATTGTGTCGGTGCCTGTCCCTTTATGGTGCGCCACCGTGGGAGCTCACGTCACCCCACGCAGCGTCCACAGGGCCTGCTGGCTGCCCTCGCCTTTGGCCTTCAGCCCTGGGTAGATGGCAGCCTGAAAGTTCCGGGATGCTGCAGCAGGGGTCTCCGGCTGGCCTTCCCCGCGCCTCCTGCTTACCTTTCGACTGTCCTGACTTTCTTAATCAGCGTCTGAGGTATCTGTACCTTTGTATCTGAAGTCAGATGCCCTTTGCTTGGTCTAGGGTGCCGCTGGCGTAATGGGGAGCCTGCGCCTTTGGCTGCGAAGGGCTCAGTGGGCGTGGCTGGGGAGGACTGTCCATCGCTGATGGGGACTGAGCTGCAAGTGGGTCCTGGGTGGACACTGGCTGCCCCGGAGGGGGACACTGATGTGTTTTCCACTTACAGTAGCAGGGAGACCTGCTGTTGACCTTCCTGCTTCCTCGGGGGGCAGGGGGCTTCACTGTGCCTTGCAAACCCTGCCCGTCCCATCTTAGAGGGGGACCGGATGTGTGCTCTGCTCAGGACGACGTGGTCCTTACATGTCGGAGTAAGTCACAGGGATGCTCTCTAAGATGGCGGAGAAGTAAAACTCAGCACGTTTGGTTCCGCGTTAGAACGAGGAATCCCTCCTCCCGCCCATCGTCTTTCCTGAGGAATCATGACGCACAGCGGAGTGGCAGATTCTGAGGGCGGGGAGGAGGGGGTCTGAGCATCGCTGCCCCGGGCTTCCCGGAGGGCAGGCCGGTGGGGACACCTCCTGCAAGCGAGGGGTCAGCCCTGCGGAGGGGCTGGGACTTGCCCTCACCTCGATGCCCACCTCTCCAGGCTTTTCTGGAAGCTTAACTGGGCCAGACACTGCTCCTCTGTAGCCTGAGGGTTTCTGTGTGAAGCATTTCCGGGCCTCGATTTTAGGGTAATGAGTCAGCTCTGCGGGAAGGAGGGGGTCGGTGGGAGTCTGACAGCGGCGGCCAGGAGCCGGCATGTTTTCTTCACTTTGTTTGGTTCCCGCCCCATCTCCTGGAGTTGGTTTTTTCCTCTACTTTAAATTTCAGTTCTGGGAGATGTGACCATTCAAGGGTATTTAGACCTGGGGGTGTACAGCCTGGTGCTGCCTGTTCCTGTGGGCCCCTCGTTGGTCCCTGGTGGCTCTTTCTGAGTGGGTGTTGGGCCTTGGGCTCTTTTCTGTGGCTCTTCCTGTTCTGGGTTCCTGGATTTAACGCACGGTTTCACTTCGGCCCTGTGTGTCCCTGTCGGTGGGCCTTTGTGCGTGGTGGTAGGTGGTGCCCTGGGGCGGGGGGTGCTGGGCAGGCCTGCAACCTGCTGCCCCTCCCCTGCTTGCATGCGCTCTAGCTTCCTGTGCTTTCTCTTGGTGATGGTCCCTGCCCGCCTCCCTCATGGGGCTTGGGGAGATCCAAGGGGTGCAGTGCCTTTGTGGGCTTCATGCTCCTCCACGTGTGGCTCGGTGGCTTCCTTCTGTGCTCAGGCCCAGGTGAGCCCCACAGGCACCAGCAGATCCTTGGGTTGTGTCACTTGGGCAGGCCTGCTAGCAGTGGGGTAGCCGGGGGGGTCTGGAGTTTTCTGGTTGTCGTTTTGCTTTTGTGTGAGGCACGTCTGTTTTCCCATGGAGTAACGCTCTACCAGTAAGGCCAGTGGGCTTTTTGGGTGTTCACTAGTTTCACTTTATTGCCCCGGTCACGCGGGTCTGCACTGGCCGGTTACGGGAGGAGGGGATGGCTGTGGCACGGTGGCGTTCCCGAAGGGCAGGTGGCGCGGGTGGGAGCCTTCTTACTGGGGAACAGGGCCATGGGGGGGGGGTCCAGGAGGCCATCCTCACCCCCTGCGCGCTCTCTCCCCAGACAGCGCCGGCGACACTGCTCCTCTGCAGTGGTCCCAGTCTCTCCCGCACTCGGTGGCGGCCGCCGTGGGTGGCACGTCTGACCCCAGCGCCCTCAGCAGCTCAGCGTTAAGTGAACGAGAGGCCTCCCGGCTCGACAAGTTCAAGCAGCTCCTTGCCGGCCTGAACACAGACCTCGGTGAGTCCCTCGCCGGCGGAAGGCACGTGCACCTGCGCCCCCACGTGTGGTTTACTTTGTCAGAGGGCGATGTGTTTGTGCCGTCCTGCGCGAGTCACAGAGATGAGCCGTTTGTCCTTGAGGTTTACTTCAGCTGTGTGTTGGTCATGGGCTTCCGGGGCCATTGATCCGGTATTTTCTGTTCTGTTCTATTTTTTAATGCTCCGATTGAACTCCTTTGGCTTCTGGGGGTTAACTGGTTTGCTCCACAGGACTGGCCAGCTTGGTGTCCCTGCTTTTCAGAGTCTTCGTGGGGACACAGAGCTGGTGACCGGGGTCCTGAGTGCTGCTGACTTTACACCTTCCTTGGTGTAAAGTGTGGGATAGGCTGTGAACACCCCGGGAGCGCAGGCGGGGCTGGGGTGGGCGGGCCAGCAGGGGGCCGTACAGTCAGCAGTGTGGTTCTCGGGGGTCACCATGGCCGCGGGGCCGCTCTGCCACCAGGCTCTGAGGCGGGTGCTCGCCTCCAGGTCCATTTGCTGGGCTTCCCCTCGAAGCTGCGTCCTTTCCTCGGTACGTCTCATCTTTGCGGAGTGCCACGCTGCATTGGGCATCTTGCTGGCTGCGGGGGCTCTCCGGAAGGTGGTATGTGGCCGCGGTCACGAGATCACGCATGGTGGAGGGTGGGTGCCAGGGTGGCACGGAGGGCTGGCGCGCCTCGGCCGCAGTGGCCCGCTCCGCCAGCAGGTGGCGCGTGAGGCACGCGCCTGGGCTGCCCAGGAGGGAGGCGGGCGGAGGCGGAGCGAGCATGGAGCTGAAGGATAGGCCCTGTCCTTGAGGATGCTGCTCCCCTTGTGGGTGCAGAAGGGTTCCTTCCCGCGAGTTTCTGCGTTTTCATTTTCCTGATTGATTTGCTCACGCACACGTAAGACAGTCACGCGGCACCAGAGGATGTGCGGTAAAAATGGGTCGCTCTCCTCTTCCCCAGCCCTGCTTTCCCTCCTTCGCGTGATTCCAGGTGTCTTCTTCCAGGGACAGGAAGGGAGGCCTCTCGTTCTCTTAACGCTGAGCTGCTGAGGGCGCTGGGGTCAGATCTCGCACATGACGATGCACGTGACGTCTTAAACCTTTTATTTAGGTGTAATTTCAAATGTAGAAGAAAGTTGCAAGAACGGGTTAGGGTTAGGGTAGGTGACCCTGTGACCCATGCAGCCCCACAGTCAGCATGTTGGAGCCAGGAACACTCCCCCTGTGCTGAGCTCCCGGGCAAACCCTGCAGGTCCCCTCCCCTGGCTGACCCCCTGAAGTTTCTGTCCCCACCTGCCATGAGTTGGAAGTCCCCACAACCTCCTCTTCAGGTTTGGATAATCTGCTCCAGTGGCTCATGGAACTCAGAGAAACATGTGTGATTCTTGGGCAGCCATGAATCTCAGCTTCTTCATGATGGGGGGCAGCCCAGCAGCTGAGTGACCATGCAGGCTTGCCTCTGCTTTTATTTCATTTTTTTATCAGAAAATCAAGGGCAGTTGCCTCAAAGCGTGGGAGAGGAGGACAAAGGGATGGCAAGTATCCTGAAGCGGTAAAGCAGTCCTGCACCCTCCCCTAGGGGCAGGCACTCAGGGAGGCAGTCATGGGATAAGGGGAAAGTGGGATGTTTGTGCTAGCAAGCACCAGGTGCAGAAAGGGGACCTGAGGGTTACATTCTTTCCTAGCTCCTAACCTGTGCCCTGCCCCTGGGGATCATGGGATCCTGCTCCTACTGGGCCCTTGCGTTCAATAGTCTGAGAACAGGAACGCTGTTGACCTTTCAGCTGCTTCCACAATCACTCCTGTGGGCTTACAATATATTTTCTAAGAATAATTCCACACTTCCTCCGTGAGGTGGACTACCTGGTATGCACAGAGGTGGATATGAAGTTCTGCGACCACGTGAGTATGGAGATCCTGTCCCCCCTCTTTGGCACCCTGCACCCCGGTTTCTACCAGGCAGCCCACAAGGACTTCAGCTACGAGCATTGGCCACAGTCGCAGGCACACATCCCCAGGGACAAGGGCGACTTTTACTACATGAGGACCTTTTTTGCAGGGTCGGTGGTAGAGGACCAACTGACCTTGGCCTGTCACCAGGCAATGGGGGTCAACCTGGCCACTGGGATTGAGGCTGTGTGGCACATTGAGAGCCACCTGAACAGGTACTTGCTGGACCATAAGCCCATTAAGGTGCTGTCCCCAGAGGACCCGTGGGACCCTCAGCTGCTGGGCTGTCCCCGAGAGGACCTGTGGGACCCACAGCTGCTGGGCTGCCCCTGGAGGACCTGTGGGATCCACAGCTGCTGGGCTGCGCCCCATCATGAAGAAGCTGAGATTCATGGCTGTGCCCAAGAATCACCAGGACATCAGCAGTGGTTATTACTTGAGGAGTCATTTTGGTGCCCACCAGGTCTTTCACTTGAGTTAACAGATGAGCCCGAAGGAAGGACGTCATCAGTTAGGAAGTACAGACGAAGGTCAGAGTGGAGGTGGGCAAAGGCCTCTTTAACTCAGAGAGCGGGGGAGCCCCGAGGTTCTTCTACACACCTTGCCCTGCTCATCGATTCCAGCTGCCTGGCTCTGAGTTCTGTCCTTTTAATGAACTGGTGATCTAGTAAGTAACATGTTTCTCTGAGTTCCATGAGCCACTGGAGCAGATTATTCAAACCTGAAGAGGAGGTTGTGGGACTTCCAGTCTGTAGCCCATAGCTCGGAAACAGGGGTGACCTCTCTGCCCAGCCACTGGCTGACCACTGAGTTAACAGCACAGGGATTCAGTGGCCACACACGGCAAAGAATACAGACTTGACAAAGTGAGTTCAGAAAAGTCACTAAGCCAACAGTAGCAACTACAACGAGCAGCAATCATGAAGCCTGGAGTGGGGAAGGTCTGATGTTCAGGATGCTTCCATTATAATATTCATAATCACACCCTGGACTTGTCACTGGGGCCAAGTCCCCCGGCTGGGGGTCAGGTAGCTCCTACATGTTCCACGTGCCTCTCTCTGGCTCCCCCAGCCGTGCACAGTCCTATGCTGCTTCCCAGCAGAGGTCAGTTTTAACCAAAGCCAGGAAGATGGGATGGGTTTTCCTGACTCCCCACCCCCTGCCCCACAGGGCTGCAAGAGAGGAAAAAGGTTTCCTCAACCCTGTTAAGGTCCCCGGCTGAGTCTGGAAATTGACAAAGACAGATGAACAGGAGAAAAGCAAGCAAAATGTATTGATTGCTTTGGTGGGAGCCTCACAAGACCATGAAGACCAGCAGAGGTGACTGGAGCAGACAGCTCTTCTACCTTTTAGACAAAGAAGCAGTAAGTGTGTGAAGAATTGACAGACGCAGGGGTTTGGACTAGGGCTCGTAAACGGTAAAGAAGTAACTAGGAAGATAAGGGTTAGTTTAACCAGGTGTGTGTGTATAGACCCCGTGGTCCTAAATTCCTTGACTCTGGTGATAAGCACTTCATCTCTGTGGTCCGGGGAGAGAAAGTTCCACATGGCAGTCTTCTGACCTGCTTAAGGGAAAAAGGGCTGATGGCTGGGGGTCAGAGAGACCTTCTTGCTTTGCTCTATGCAAAAGTTCTTTTAGCTTCTGTATTTATTTTGCCAAGGTGCCGTATTTGGGGTAGTGTGTCCTAACCCTCACTGGCCTGGTGCTGTACTCTGTCTCCTAGTATCCAGGACATTGGATGTGCTGCTGTGGAGACCTTCCAGCCCTGGGGTAGCCCCTTGTCCAGGGAGGCACCTGCCTCAAGGGGAGGGTCGCTAAGGGTGGCCGCCCCTCCTCAGGGAGATTGGGTGGGAGAATGCAGATCTTACTTCGAGAAACTGACTTTATTTCCTGAAAAGGTCTACCTGATAGTGGGATCATACGGGAGTTCTTTTTTTAGTATTTTGGGGAAGCTTCATCCTTTTCCCAGCATGGGTGTGCCAACCAAAGTCAATTCCAGATGATTTTTACCTATAAACCAGAGATTTTGCAAGAACCTCTCCAGCAGAGAACATGAGGAGAACAGTTTCAAGTCCTTAGACAGGCAGAGATTTCCCAGGATGCAAAATATACTAACCGTAGGAACAAACCGGTGACTTAGAAACTATGAAATGAAGAACTGGCTCTCCTTCTTCCATTTCTGGCTAGTGTGCTGGTCTGTGGCTCGATCTCACCTCAGGCAGCTGAAAGGTTGACCTCCCAGGTCAGCTACCACTGAGATGGCTACTGTTTCTAGAAATTCTTCGGGGTGTGGCCGGTTTTCCCCACCTGCGCACTGATCAAGTCGGCGACCTCGGACAGTGGAGCCACGGGTCCTCCAGGCATGGTTCCCCCCCAGTGCCCCAGTAAAGCCATTCCACTGAGGGTTTAGGGGGACCGGAGCTGCCCCTAGGCAAAAACACCAGAGGTTCTCACTGTCCCTACCTGGCCTTCAGATGCTCCTCAGTTACTCCTGTGCCTCTGATGTCTTCCTGGAACCCTGACCTGGCTGGTTTTGGACAGTTTGTCCAGTGGTACCCTCACTTTCTGGGAGGGGGATTTGCTGGAATCCGCAGTGTGTCCTGCAGCCCCACCGGGATCACTTTTTGAAGGCACGTCGCCTGGGCCATCTGAGGACTCAAGACTGTGGGTCTGTGGCTTGGAGGGATTCTGAGCAGCTGGTGGGATTCTGAGCGCTGGTGGGATGGGAGGGCTGCAAGGCCCAGAGGCAGGTTTCCAGGAAGCTGTCTGGGGTCCCCGGCATCCTGCCGTTTTTGAATCAAAGCCCTGAGATCTTTAAAATGCCAGCAACGTTACAGCATGGGCCAGAAAAGCAAATGTCCCTGTGCACCCAACACCACCTAAACTATTGGCCATTTCTTGTCACTTGAGTTGAGTAGAAAGGATTGGGAGTCAGGGCTTGAGGGGGGTCCTGGGTCAGACTTTGTGTTTGGGGGACAAAGGTCATCCGGACAAGCTTGTGCTGAGGCTGAGGAGGGGGTCTGTGTGGAGACCCCAGCTGCAGGCACTGCTGTCCAATGATGCCCCCTCAGCCCGACCCAGTGCACCTGCTGCTGGGGGAGAGCCTGCCCCCTCCTCTCTGCCTGAGGGCTCTCTCCTGCACGAGGTGTGCCTCCTCCCCTGCCAGTCACTGCCAGCCTGCAGCCTGGGAGGGTGGGAGGGTGGCTACCCCGAGTTCCTGCAGCTGCTGGGGGAGCGCCTGCCCCCTCCTCTCTGCCTGAGGGCTCTCTCTCACACCAGGTGCCTCCTCTCCTGCCAGCCACTGCCAGGCTGCAGCCTAGGAAAGTGGCTATCCCGAGTTCCTCCAACTGCTGGGGGAGCGCCTGCCCCCTCCTCTCTGCCTGAGGGTGTATCCTGCACCAGGTGCCTCCTCCCCTGCCAGTCACTGCCAGCCTGCAGCATGGGAGGGTGGATACCCTGAAAACCTCCAGCCCTGTGGACAGAGTCAGTGCAATGTGGTCTCCCAGCAGGTCTGAGCACCAGGCCCCCACATTGCTCACTCTCGTCCTATGGGCTCAATGTGCCACATCCTCCCTCAGGCTCCCTGGGTCCGAGTCCTCCTCTGCTCGTGGACCATCCTTGGCCCAGGCTCCACACGCTGGGACTGGGAGCGGGTCGTCTGGATGATCTGGACTCTCGCTTCTGTTCCCGTGACACGGGCACAGGCCGGCCTCACAGACTGCTCAGAGGAGACTCAGCACAGGACGATGCAGGTCGCTATAAGGGGAGATGCCAAGTGACCCCAGAGGGAGCGCACAGGCCTTGCAGAAGGCGCTGGGCTCATGGGGCTCAGTGTGGGATGCGGGCGCCCAGCCAAGGGGCATGGGGAATCCTGGTGAGGGCGGCCCTGGCAAGTGGGGGAGGGGGAAGCCACAGAAGGGTCTCAGAAGAGGCAGGAGACAAGGAAGAGGACAGGACAGAGCTTCCCAAGGAGGTCGATGGAAGGATCAAAGGATCACAGAGACCCTTGGGGAAACTCGGAGGCCCTGGAGATGTTGGCTGAAATGCTGTCATTTGGTCAGAAAAATTGTGTCACAACTCCGCAGTTGACACTGGATGATTTACTCTTTGTTGGTTCTAGGAATCAGTGCATACCTGGCATTAGAACTCACATGGCATGAAGTCTAGGACATACTTACTTTTCATCACTTTTCAGGACGAGATTTTTCTAGAGGAGGTGCTAAACACGGGTCTCTCCATTCTTTTCTTTGTGCGACTGGCCTGTTTCCAGGAGCAGATTCCTAGTGCTCATCGCCAGAGGTAGCCGTGAGGACTGCCCCCCATCACCTCCCACAGTGGACGTGACCATGTGGGTTGGGGGGTGCTCACTGATGAAGCCCCAGTGCTCAGTACCCAGCAGGGACCCCAGATCCTGTGCTGAATGAGGGAGGATGGGAGTGAGGGAAAGAGAGAGGGAGGGACGATGGGAGAGAAGGAGGGGAGAGAGGGAGAAGGGAAGGGAGGATGGGAGGGAGGCAGGATGGGGAGGGGGAGGGGAGAAAGGCAGGAGGAAAGGGAGGATGGGAGGGGTAGAGGGGAGGGAGGGAGGCAGGGAGGATGGGAGGGAGGCAGAGAGGCAGGGAGGGAGGGAGTGGGGGAGGGAAGGGAGGAGTGGAGGGGAAGGAGAGAGAGGGGGGAATGAATGAGTGAATAAATGACGTAGGGAGGGAGGGAGTGAAACCACAGAAGCTGGATCTGTACCTCAGGAGCCATTATTTGGGGTGAGGTCCGAGGGCATCACAGCCTGGGTCCTGGATGGTGGCTCAGGGCACGTCCATCTGTCCTCCCAGTGCTGACCTTCCTTCTCCTTGGACCCGGTGTCATCCTGGATCCTCTCCATCCCCTCCTCAAACAATTCTCAATGTTCCCAGGAACAGGGTGGCAGGACGGAGTCTCAGGAGGGGCTTCCCGGATCCTGTGCCCCGAAGGACAATGTGACAGTGGCTACAGGACATTCTATCATGAGGACTGGGACCATGGATCCCATCCATCTCCTTGGTCATTAGCGTTGTTCCATTCCCTGCTCTCTCCACCACCGCTGTGATGAACACTCCTGAAAGCAGATCTGTGAAAAACCGAGCCAGAGTTTCCGGGGTTGAGTCCGAGGCCGAGCATGCCAGGTGATGGGTGCACCTGCAGCCTGGGGTGGGTGATGCTCACTGTTCTCCCAGACAGGGGTGCCCGTCACCCTTTCCTCCAGGGGACCTGCATTGGACCTCCGCTTCCTCACGTTCTCCCCAGACCAGACACCTGCCAGTCTGAGGGTGATGAGCGCTGCCTCCATAGGGTTTCCTTTGCCGGAATCCTTCCCCGGGAGCTCCACATCTCTGACACATATTCCCTGCGTGCCTATCCTCCCCCTTGGACTGGCATGTGTTTGGTCTCCATCCCTGTGGAACCCAGTGACTTGGAGCGTGGTTTGTACCAGAGTCAGGTGAAACCTTTCTCTGGCCTTGCTTTGTGGTGTGTCTTCCAGCTTTCTGCGTTTCCCTGGTTTCTGTGTGGGCCACAGGAGTAACCAGCCGTTTCCTGTCTGGGGTCAGGCTGTGGTGTCCCAGCAGGTACAGGGGTCTCTGCCCCGAGATTGTGCCCATAATTCCTTTTTTAAAAAAAGATTTTATTTATTTGCGAGAGAGAGTGAGAGGGAGAGAGATCACGAGCAGGGGGAGTGGGAGAGGGAGAAGCAGGGTTCCCATGGAGCAGGGAGCCCAATGCGGGGCTCGATCCCAGGACCCTGAGATCATGACCTGAGCCGAAGGCAGATGCTTAACGACTGAGCCACCCAGGCGCCCCTGTGCCCATAATTCCTAAAGTGGCCTCTCTGATTACATCTGATCTGTAATCAATCGGGGATTTCAATATCGAATAAGGGAAATTTTATGACAAATAAACAGAAGAAAACGAGTCCCCTTTGAAAATAAGTGGGCAGACACAAAGGCTCCTATTGCATGATTCCATGTACAGAAACATCCAGAACAAGTAAAAGAATAAGGAGAGAAAGCAGCTTAGGGGTTTCCAGGGTATGGGCTGGGGGCGAAATGGGCAGGGGGCTTCTGGTTCGGGGACTCCTTTGAGACATGAGATATTCCGCAGCAATCTTCTGGGGTGTGGTGGCACAGCGTTGGGAATGTACTTATGCTCATCATATGTTCAGTTGAAAACAAGTAATTTTATTTAAAACAAATAATAAACAGTATACAGAACATGAAAATGAACAATATGAACTAGAACAATATGAACCAGAGAGAAAGAACATAGGGGGAGGGGATGAAACAATCTGGCGGGGCGTCGGGGTCCGGCGATGGACCTAAGGGTAATTGTACAAGGAGCTCTCCCCGCAGGGCTGTGGGCTCTGGATGTGGCTCTGGGAGCCCTGCGGGAGCAGGAGTAGGGGCAGGGGTTGGGATAGGGGCAGGGCCAGGGGCAGGGCCAGGTGTAAGAGCAGGCCCAGGGGCAGGGGCAAGGGGAGGGATAGGATCAGCAGTCGTGGCAGGTGCAGGATCTAGGGCAGGACCTGGGTAAGGAGCAGGAACAGGAGCTCCGGCAGGCGCAGGGGCAGGGGCAGCAGCAGAATGAGCAGGAACAGGAGCTCAGGCAGGGGCAGGGGCAGGGGCAGCAGGTCTGACAGGGGTAGGGTTATGAGCAGGAGCAGGGTCAGGGACAAGAACAGGAGCTCAGGAAGGGTCAGGGGAAGGGGCAGCGGAGTCTGGCAGGGGCAGGGAGAGGAGCAGGAGAAGGAGCAGGAACCGGAGCTCAGGCAGGGGAAGGGGCAGTGGCTCTGGCAGGGGCAGGGGAAGGGGTAGGAGGAGGATCAGGAGCTGGGTTGCAGCAGTGGCAGGTGCAGGATCCAGGGCAGGAGCTGGGTCAGGGGCAGGATCCAGGGCAGGAGCTGGGTCAGGGGCAGGAACAGTAGCAGGAGCTGGGTCCGGGGCAGGTGCCAGTTCTTCCTGGTCCACGTCAGGCTGTCCGTGGGTGGGTGCCGGGTCACCTGCCGTCTCCTGGTCTCCTCCTGAAGTCGCTGCAGGCACCACCCCTCCCTCCAGAGCTCCCGATGGAGTTGGAACCGGCTCTAGCTCCTCAGGTGCTGGAGCAGCTGTGAGAGGAGAAAAGCTCACCCCGAGCCCGCTCTCCGTGGGCCTTTGCGGAGACAGAACCCAGCCCAGGGCCTCCCAGAGAAGCCGCAGCCAGGAAGGAGCCCTCCCTGGGGTGTCTCCCCGACTGCAGTCCACCCGCTGGATGCTCTGCGCCCAGTCTTTGCTCCAGGCCCCACACCAGCCTCTGGGGGCTCGTCCCTGTGGGGCCAGCACCGACCCATCCCCACACACCACAAACACCCAGCCCCAGCCTTCTCACCCTCGGGCTCGGTCTCCGTGGGCTCCGGCTCCTGGACCACTGTCCGGTGACCAAGCACCTGGGACAGTGGTCTGGGGGGTGTTGGAGGTCTTGCCCGGCAATCCCCAGCACTTGTTTTGGGGGATGCCTGTGGGGTCAACCGCTCCGTCAGGGAGGAGGACATGTCCGCCAGCCGCCTCGGGAGGTCATCCGTGGCCTTCTGCAAAGACAGGGACGGGTAGCTGGCTGGAGGCATCACAGCCCTGCCGGGCCATCCTCACTGTCCTCCTGCCCAGTCCCCCTGCTGCTCCCAGATCAGACACAGTCCTGTGAGTGCACAGCCCTGCACCCTGGATGCAGTGACCCATCCCTGCAGGGCTATCTGGATAAACCCTGGGTAGAAGGGGCAGCGCCCACACACCCCATCCGACACGGCCAGCCTTGACCTTGAACATGACCTGCCCACTGGGAATCTGACCCCTCATCAGCCTGCTCCTGCTCAGGGTGGCCCCACCCTGCATGACCCCTCTTTACACACACACACACACACAGAGACACACACGCACGCACACACACACTCACACACAGACACGCACAGACACACACACACGGAGGGGGGCCTGGGGCTGCACAGGCAGATCAGAGCGTGTGGGGCTGGGTGGCAGGCTCTGGGCCTCCTGGTGTCACCTTTCTGTCCTTCCGGCCAAATGGCCAGAGGCTGTGGGGAGCCCTGATTCGACATCCCCAGCGGGGGACAGTGTTTGCAGGGCGCTCTTTCTTCAGCCTGCAGCGTCCAGATTTGGGGAAGCAGCACCCGAACATGCTTTTTGTTGGAGGGTCTCCAAAGAAATGAGCTGGGCAGGGGGCTGTCTCTGGAATGTGGGTGCCTGGTTACCGGGGTTCCAAATTCTGTTGGGCTCTGTTGTCAGGGAAGTGAGGTCACCAGTGCCTGGGGTCCCCTTACCCAACTTCCTCCTCACACAAGACCCCCGCCCGAGGGCCCCCTCCCCCGGCTGCTCAATGCTCCCCCTCCCCCCATGCCCCATCCATACAGTGACTCCCTCAAATGGTTCTAGTTAAGTTGACATTTCTAACCTGGTAGGAGTGAAGAGCAGATTGCTGCTGCACATCTTCAAGTGTGATATCGGTCATTTCATTTGGCATTAGTGTACAATGTATTTAGTGAATATCCACTCTCTACCAGGTAGTATAGATTGGTCTCTTGAATTCCGTGTTGACACCTTCTGAGCAGGAGCTTGGGAGTTAGGACAGATGCTGAATGGAAGACTCACACTTAATGTTTGTGATTCTTTCCTCTTATGTGTCATATGCATATACACACAAGATATGGTATATCTAGTAGTAAACCTTGGCATTCATTTAAATGATCACTTATCCTTTTCTATGCTGGTTGCCTAGGGGAATCTGATTGGATGCTCAGTCATAGTGTATCTTTCTCATATCTGATTTATATGTTTGGTTTTTTTCTCTTATTTTTCTTTCTATTTGATTAGTCTCATTAGACATGTATTTTTTTAATTATAACTAATAATCCAAGGTTATTTTTGGTTAAGTGTGGAATATTAGTAAATTATTAGTAAAAATTAAGTACTCTACTGAACGCTAATCTCAGAAAACTATGTTATGTAAGAACATTATGGTTATATTTTACTCACCAAGTTATTGAATTTTGCTAATAATTTAATATTTGCAAAGCAGTTTCAGAGACTATCAGTATAAAAAGATCATGTGAATTTCTAAATTTAGTTAAATGTTTTTAATTTTATAAAATACTTCGTTCCATTATTGATGGTCTTTGAGTTTCTTTCGTAAGTTTTTATATTGTGAATTGGAACTTCTCGATAACCCTAGAAATGAAAATTGGAATACTGGGTAAAAAGCACATTAGTCATTTATCACTGATTTCTTAAGCTTGGCATTACAAACATAGAGAACTACTCTGAGTTCTTCATCCGCTTATTTAATTTCATTTTTATAAGCCATTCCTCTTAAATACTTTGTATTCCTAGACTTCCTCAAATGGTACCCCGGTTCAGCATTCAGCAGTTCAACCCCAAAGGTTTTCTGCAGAATACTAGAATAATATGAAATATAAAAACACATCAGCACATTTAGTATTTAGCTGACCTTTGGACTCATGGGTTAGATCTGAGGAAGGTAGAAATCAAAAAAGCTATTTGATCTCCAAAACTTTATCTGTTGATCAGCCCTGAGAAGGACACTGACAGATATCCAGTTTATTGATGGCAGGTGTTAAGTGAGTTGTTTTTCTTCCGTTTGAAGAGGAAATCAGGTTCTATAATTGGTTTCATTCAAACTATTAATTTTTTTATGTGTAATCAGGCAAGTTTAGATCAAATTAGAGAAAGGCATCTTGAGTCAAAGCCAACTTCAAAGTTTATATAGATAAGAAATCCTTATTGTCTTCTTGGACTAAATTATCTTAAAATACAGGCAATCTGGGATCCAGTGTCTATGGCCGGGCTTCAGGAGGCCATTGATGTTCCCAGTAATTTTATGTCAAAGTTGGTATGTGACTTTATTTCTCTAAGGATAATCCATTGGAAACCTGTGGGTTTTTCTCTCTGGTAAGAATTTATGAATATATTTTTTAGAAGATTTATTTATCCATTTTAGAGAGAAAGAGCAGAGGGGAGGGGCAGAAGGAGAGTGAGAAAGAATCCCAAGCAGACTCTGCGCTGAGCACAGGACCTAATGCGGGGCTTGATTTCATGACTTAGAGACCATGACTGAGCCAAAACCAAAAGCCTGGATGCTCAACCAACTGCGCCACCCAGGCACCCCAAAATTTATGAATATTTTAAGTGGATAATGAAAATTAGTATAGTAGTTTTAAAAAATCTGCCTTATAAATCATACTAACCTAGAATACAGGTAAAATATACAACAATTTCTTTTAACATAATACACTTTTTAATGAGTTGCCCCATTGTCCTTTTCTTAGTACTGTTCTTATTTTCCTTTTTCTTTTGTAGGGCTGAGATGCTTCTAGATCAGTACCGAAAGAAGTCAAAGCTCTTCCATACTACAGTTGTCCTGGCCCCACTAGGAGATGATTTTCGCTACTGTGAACGCATAGAATGGGATCATCAGTATAAGAATTATCAGCTGCTTTTTGATTATATGAATTCTCATCCTGAGTATAATGTTAAGGTAATTTGAAAATATTTAATTATGATACTGTATTTGAAGTTGAGCCTTCATTATTAAATGAGGCTAAAACACAACAGCCTTAGTTTCTTTGTCCCACATCCCAATATTTCCTAGAATATGTAGTTTGTATGTAAGAGTGTAGTTCTTAAAGAGGAAAATTATCTAGTACTATAGTTGCATTTCTGAAGTTGTCCCTTTCCCCCCATTCCTACAGCATTAAAGAGACTTTACTTTTATGTAGTTGTAAATATGCACCTACTAAGTTGTGATCTTCAGTTTTCAGTGATGTCCTGTTTTTCTACCAGCATCAAAAGTTTGTTTCTGACGGCTGCATCCTTGTGATTTTAGTAATGTGACGGGCAATGCAGATGAACGTGTCATGAATTTTGCAAATTAATGTCTTGTGTCCAGAGAATACACTAGCATCTTTCTTAGTTGAGAAGACTTCCAAAATTAATCATTTACCTGTAGTTCTTTCTCTCTTTTTTTGTTTCCCTTTTGGAAAATTTTGAATGTACCCTAAAGTTTTGAGAACAACTTAAGTACCCTTCCCCTGACCCCTGCCTCCCCATATCCATAGCTCAGCTACCACATTGATCAACTCGAGGTCACTCTCACTTCAGCTGTGCCTCACTGTCCTCTCTCACCCTCTCCCAGGGATTATTTTGGAGGAAATAGTAGTCATGTAGTTTCATCTGTAACCATTTCATTATGTATCTAAATGATAAGGACTCTGTTTAAAAATACAATCATAATGCCACTATTATATCTAAAAAATTAACAATAATTCAATATTATCATATATCCAGATAGATTCAGATTTTCCTGATCACATACAGGTATTTTTTTTAAGCATATGTTTCATGAGTCAGGATTCAAACAAGAGTCCTATATTAGACCCTATATGAGAAAATTACCCAATGTGTTTATTATATTCACATACTAACCTATGAGACAGTAGAATATTTGTGGAAATACTACAGAAAGGAAGAGATGTTACTGTTTAGGAAATTAGAAAGCTGATGATAGGTCACATTTTATGTAGGGAGAATTCAAGTTTATTAAGTAAATGTAAATAATATTAAATAGTTAAATAAACTTAAATAAAATGCCAGGTGTATTCAAGATACTTACAACTGAATTTCTACCAAATTATGAACTTTAGGTCTATGTTTAAATCATCTCTATAATCTCCTCAAAGATGAAGCTGATACACAAACATTTACTTAGGGGATGGCATATGCAGATGGGTATTTTATCCCTAAGTACATCTTCCTAGTGAATGGTTTTGAGATCCATAAAAGGATCTACCACTCATTCTAAAGAATTAAAGTACTGATTTTTGTATTTTACCTATTTCCTTCTTTGCCCAGTAGGGCAATTTGTAAAGTCACTTTAAAAAGCATCCAACTCTTGATTTTGGTTCAGGTCATGGTCTCAGGGTCACATACTTAAGATTTCCTTCTTGTATCATTTCAAAAGAAAAAACACTAACCATGATGATAGAAGGGAAAATAAGGTTACTTTTGTAAGATTTGGCAATGATTTGAATGAGCGGGGGGGGGGGCAGGGGGAGGGGAGAGAGAGACTCTCAAGCAGACTCTGTACTGAGTGCGGAGCCCAATGTGAAGCTCATTCTCATGACCCTGAGATCATGACCTGAACCAAAATCAAGAGTTGGATTTCTTAACCAACTGAGCCATCCAGGCGCCCCACAGTATATTCAATTTTAATACTGTATATTATCTTTAATATCCATTTGATAAATACATCACGATTTGTCCATTGTATTATTGATGGACATTTGGGTTGTTTCCAGTTTTTGTGTATTACAAATAAAGCCATTTTGAATATTTTGTGCATGTTTTTATATACATGTATGTGAATTTATGTGGGTATAAAATGGGATAGAAATTTTTGGTCACTGGGTATGCACATGTTCAACTTCAGTAGATATTGCCAAATGGTATCCCAAAATAGATGCACTAGTCGTTGCATTGTATGACAATTTCAGTTGCTGTACTTCCTTACTCAGATTTTTTGTTAGGATTTTTTTTTCATTTTTATTTTTTTATGATCGATATGATGGTTTTATTTTATATTTCCCTGGTAGTTAATGAATTAAACCTCTTTTCATAAGTTTATTGCCATTTAGGTATCCTCTTTTGTGAAGTGACTATTTAAATCTTTTGATGACTTTTCCTTAAATTGGGTTGTCTGTTTATTTTGTACCATTTATAACTCTTTTATATATTTTGGTTTGAGTCTTCCTTCAGATAAAAGTTATGCAAATATTGTCTCCCACTATGTGAGCCTGTTTTTTAATTTCTTTCTTAATGCTGTCTTTTGATAAACAGAAATTCTTTGTTTTAATTAAATCTAATATAACAGTATTTTCCTTTCCATGTCATGTTCTGCTTAAGAAATTTTTGTTTATACCCCATAATTATGAAAATACGCTTCCTATGAAGCTGTCCTCCAGAAGCTTTATTTTTTTACCTTCAATATTTAGGTCTGTAATCTGTTTGGAATTGATTTTTTTGTGAATTGTATGAAGACAGGGATCAAGGTGCATTTTTGCCCATATGGGTATCTACCACCATTTATTGAAAAGACCAGTGTGCCCACTTTACTGCAGCATCATCTTTTTCATTAATTTTGAGTGAAACTATTTGTGTGGCTCTTGTATAGACTCTATTCAATTTTGTCTATTTAGTCTCGGACTGTCTTAATTACTATAGTTTTAGAATGGATCTTAATTTCTGATAGCATAAGTCTTCTAATTTTGTTTTCTTTCTCAAGATTGCATTGGTTTTCTTTATAGTTCTGTATAGGTTTAAGATCAATTTTTAAATTTCTACCAAAAAAAGTTGGAATTTTGATTGGCATTGCATTGAACCTATAGATCAATGTGAGTACCGTTAACTTCTTTACAAATATTAGGCCATCCATGAATGTGGTATATTCCATGTATAAAAATACACTTGACTTTTGCATTCTAACCTTGTACCCAGTAACCTTCATGCATTTCCTTTCTTTCTGGAATTTTTGTCACTCAAGTGTCGGCTGCTTTGATTGTCCTTAGATACCTTCAAACAAAAGCTTTTTTTCTCTCTGTGGTTTATCTAGTATCTGTTCTCTGTAGGATGTTTGAAGTTATTTTGTCCAAGCCAGAAGCTTCAGTTTATTATTTTCTTTTAATGAAAGGAAAAACCCAAGTAAGCAATTGAATTTAGATGGCTAAAAAATTGACATTGTACCAACCAAGCCAGTCAGTTTCCCATTGGTCATCACTTATTTAACAATTTATGTATTTTTCTCATATGTTGCTCTGATAGAGGAGTTTGATTATGTTTAAGATTAAGGTTATGTTAAAGATATAATTTGTTGCCTTTTGAAGTAAAAAACATCTACCTTTTTTTTTGGTTATTTGGAATACGTACTTTGAGCTACCAAGAGACTATAGAAAAATTCACTCTTAAATAATTTCTTTTGAAACTACTCTAGGATAGATACAGGATTATATATCAGTCCTTTGAGATTGAATTAAATTTGTGAGAATGCTCACCAGGCTACTTAAATGAACTTTGCCTGGGGCAATTGCCAAGAAGGAAATACTTTCATCTTGGCTAATACCAAAAATTAGTTACAATATTCTAAAAGGGTATACTTTGTTGTGAATATTAACTCTGTAGCATGCCACAGTTCCCTAAAATCTGAAACTGAAGGGAATTTTTGTTATCTCATAGAAATCCCTTTTTATATAGATGAGAAAGTGAGTCAGAAATTTAGATTGTTGAATATTTTTTACTTTTATCAGTATACTTCCCTGAGCTTGTCTGTACTATTGGGCCTGAAGTTAATGCTGTATTTCTTTGCATTTGTGACCCTCATGGTTATACACACACACTTATATTCTGCTTCTTAGAATGTGTTAAGTGAGTAATAAATAACACTTAATTTTTGAGTACTTACTATTTGCTATTAATGTTTTCTTTTAGAGAGAGAGCATGCACTTTGGGGGTGCGGGGGCGTGGGGATGGGGAAAGGGAGAGAGAGAATCTTAAGCAGGCTCCATGCCCAGCACAGAGCCCAATGTGGGGCTCGATCTTATGACCCCGAGATCATGACCTGAGCTGGAACCAAGAGTCAGGTGCTTAACCAACTGGGCCATCCAGGCACCCCTGCTATTAACTTTTTAAAGTGCTTCACTTTAGTTAACTTATTTAATTCTCTGAACATTTTCTGGTAGGTACTATAATTATCCCCATTAGAGATGAGGAAACTGAGGCACAAATATAATAACTTTCCCAAGATACATTGTATTTGGTGAAGCCAAGATAAGACTAGGTAATATTATTGAAAATTGCTTTTCTGTGATGTAAACATAAGGATTTAGAAATAATTATCTATTTTGCTGTTATAAAATTTATTGTGTCACAGGTACATGATAACTTCTATTTGTCTTACTAATATCATCATGTTTCCAGCTGAAATTTTGCCTTTGCAATAGAAAAATGATAGCTAAAACTTAGACCATTATTTCCCAGTTGTGTTTCTAAGCATTTTACTTAGATCCCTCTTAGCTGTAACACAGACACAGAGACAATATATAAATATGCTCAAAACCACATTGTTAGGTAAATGGTAGAGATGGAATTCAAACCAATGCTATCTGGATCCAGGTTCTGTGCTGTTCTTAACCACTCTTCTAGAGTGCTACTCACTGTTTTTAACTACTCTTTTTTTTTTTCTTAAGATTTTATTTATTTGACAGAGACACAGCTAGAGAGAGAACACAAGAAGGGGGAGTGGGAGAGGGAGAAGCAGGCTTCCTGCAGAGCAGGGAGCCCGATGTGGGGCTTGATCCCAGGACCCTGGGACCATGACCTGAGCCAAAGGCAGATGCTTAATGACTGAGCCACCCAGGCACCCCTGTTTTTAACTGCTCTTAATTATTTTTCTGCCACATTGAATCAAAGTAGCTTTTAGTATCTGTGTGTGTGTGTGTGTGTGTGTGTATCTGTGTGTGGTAGGAAACAACAAAAATAGCATCTTAATATTCAAAGAAATACATTCCCTGTTAAATTCTCTGTTTATCTCTAAAAACACTGCCTTTTAATATCTGTTTACATGGTGTGGTATAATACTTCTTTTTTCCTTTGATTTATGGAATAGTTTGGGCTCATAAAAATGGATTTATGTTCTGGTAATTTAAATCATTAGTCAAAAGACCTTTTCATTTGAGCAGTCAACCTTGCAGTTCTTGTCACTCTTTGTGTTTTACTTCTATTCAATGTTACCTGCTGGTAGAGCAAGTCCATTTTTTTAATGACCTGCTGTTCTTAAAGTCTCCCTTATGAGAGCTCAAGCAAGGGGGATGGGGAGGCCAGGGGAGTGTATGTGCATATGACATATGAAAATACTTAATGGTTAACCAAACTGTATGTAAATATTTTATTTTTGCTGCTTCCTCCCATCTTTTATTCATCTCTGAATTATTCTATTCCCTGACCCTTGCACACTTTGAAATTCTGGAGATTGGTAAGGTGTTTTCAGATCCACAGATTTGTATATCTCAGTAGTTCTTCTAACCCCTTAGGGGTGTAAGTTTTATTTTAGTTTACTTTGGGACCTGATGCAAGTGAAAGAGCTACTGTATATTTTTCCCCCTGCTTTTGAGTTTTGTAAAATCTGAGCTAGAATTTCATCTTAACTGGAAAGCGCATCTTAAATATTTACTGTTAACTTTTCCTTTTAGTGCTAGAAGTAATTTTAAGGTAGAGATGAATAAGTGTCACTTTTTTTTTATTAGATACAGTTTGGGACTTTATCAGATTATTTTGATGCACTGGATAAAGAAGATGTAACCATTAGAAAGAATAGCCAATCCATGTTCCCTGTTCTAAGTGGAGATTTTTTCACTTATGCTGACCGAGACGATCATTACTGGAGCGGCTATTTTACATCCAGACCCTTCTACAAACGAATGGATAGGATATTGGAATCCCATCTAAGGTACAAAATTTACGTTTAGAAAGCTACATTAATTATTCACCTTTTTTATGTGATCATAGCACATAGCATAGCATAGAGTTTTGCATAATATACAACATGTATGCAGTATTGGGATGTGTTTAATGTAATTGTGAAATTTTAATGCAATCAGAGCTATGTCTCCAGTGCATAATCAGATTATTATATGGGCTTTTGTTCTGAAAAAAGCAGTTTATCTGATTAGACTTTCTCCTGTATCTTATGTTTTATATGTTTCTAATTAATTACTGGTATTGTTTGCACACCGTGATAATATCCAGTGGCATTGTTATGTGTGTCTGCAGGTCAGTAGCCAGACAGACTAAATTGCTGGAAACAAGCAAGGGTCACAAGGAACAAACAGGGCCTCTCTGTGGCTAAAATGTGGGCCTCAAAGTACACAATCTAAAACTAATGTATTTTATATGTGGGAGAACTTCAGAGGCTCCACCTCAGTTCTCATTTATTGAAACATATTTCTATAGGTGTGATTCTCTGCTTAGAAGAGCAAAACTTGAAAGAGATGAGAACTGATGGCGGCAGAGTGATTGGCTGAAAAAGCATAGTGACAGGGAGAAAGCAGAAAAGTCAGGAGAAAACAAAAACGCTCTAACCAGCGTTGTCCAGTAGAACTTTCAGTCACTGTCCAACAGAACTTTCTGCAGTGGTAGAAATCTTCTGTTTCTGTTTTCTGCACTGTTTAGTATGGCCACTTGCCACATGTAACTGTTGAGCACTTGAAATGTGACCAGTGTGGCTGAGGAAGTGAACTCTTAATTTCCTTTAATTTGAGTTGATTTAAATGTAAATAAATAATCACACGTGGCTAGTAGCTATCTTTGTGGGTCCTGTTGCTTTTTGGTAAGGATGAACCACCCTGGGGGCTCCTGGGGCTCTCTCTATGTGTGTGTAGCGTGGGAGCTTAATTCATTTTCAGGATGAGTTCACTTTCAGCTTAGTTCAGATCATGAATTCATGATGATTAATTTTCATGATGAATCTCAGTATTAAAAATAAAAAGTCATGTTATATCTACCTTCTTCTCCGTACTGGTAGAAATAGTACATTTTGGAAAGCCCTTTTATAAAGATCGTGAATTTCTCCCAGAGTTGTACTTTGGTATAGTAGTGTGTTTTTTTTTATTTTTACTGTTTCATGCTGTCAGCATTATTTCAAAAGCCTGACCTTTGCCTTTTTTTTGGGATATTCACAAATGTGCCAGATGGATACGTATTCCTGTATTTGTAATAAAATAGTATTTCTATATTAGAGAGATTGATGCATTCTTGCCCAATAGAATATTAATTCTCTGTTACTCTAAACTACCTATGATAAAAACAGAGAACGTACTAAGTAATGTAGAGATTCTTTTGGACTACTGCACTTTTTTAAAAGTGTCAACTATTTTTTAGTGACAAAGAGTTACAAATATTGATTCAATTTTAATTTATTGAACATATTTAAGGTGAAGTACTTAGTGTGAGTAATAATATATTTTGAAAATTCTGCTTTAAAATAAAATGACAAAAAACCATATAATAATGACAAATTTCAAAATGTAATCAACTTACTTGAAAATAAGTTTATTGTCTGATTATAGATATTTCATCTTGATGCTCATTTGTAAAACATTTGGATAGGATAGAGGAGTATAAAGAAGAAAATATTTTTTAAACCCCCTTTTTACATTTTGGGATATCTATATGTATAGGTACTCTTTGCAAAGCCAGGAATATGTGCTATGGGTATAGATGGACATATATACACAATTTCTTTAATTCAAACTTAGTGTTTCTCCTGCCATGAATTTTAGAAAGATTAGAATTTAAAGGCAGAGATTATTTAGTATCTTCTAATTATTTCAAAATTTAAAACAATTCTTTTTTTTTTTTGAGTACTTTAAATTTGTCCTTTTCCTTATATTGTGATACATTTTCAAGCTGCCTTGGTTTTCTCTCCATCCTTCTTAATATGTTTGGCATAAAGAACCTTCTTAAACTTTTTACTTCATCAAGCCATCTCTCTTTTTTTTTTTAAGATTTTATTTATTTATTTTTAAAGATTTTATTTATTTATTTGACAGAGAGAGACACAGAGAGAGAGGGAACGCAGCAGGGGGAGTGGGAGAGGGAGAAGCAGACTCCCCGCGGAGCAGGGAGCCCCATGCGGGGCTCGATCCCAGGATCCTGGGACCATGACCTCAGCTGAGGGCAGACGCTTAACGACTGAGCCACCCAGGCACCCCAAGCCATATCTCTTTTTTAAAGAACTTTTTCGAAACCTGTCTTGAACCATATCCTCTGATGAAAAAAATAAAGCATGAAAATGATAAGTCCCCATATTCTTGCTCAAAAACTACTCGTAAGCCCAAGTGTTTTTTCTTTAAAATAAACGAGAAGCGACAGCATATGTTTTATCACCTTTCAGTTTATATTGTTACTTTCCCTCTAGTTGTCGAATGTTCTCATTCAGCACAGAGACTAGCTGTTGTCACTGAGCTGTCAGGCCATCGCTTTCTGCCTCTCCTTCACTGTTAGTCTCCCACTCATGTGACCATTTCTGCACCGTCTCTCCTTTAATGTATGTATGTGAGAGTGAATGGCTTTCTGGTGATGAAGTTCCTGGTATGTGTCTGGGCTGATCTTGGAGAGAAGAAAGGGCAGCAACCATTATCCACTTTTTACTGCTGTTTCGAGCTTTTTTTTTTTTTTCCACTATGTTATACATAAGTACACCTATCTCGCTGCCAGTGGGTACTGGCTTCTTTCCAGGACCATCTAGAACAAGCGTCCTTTATATCAATTTAGACATGATGTTCTCTGATGATTGATAATCTAGATATATTAGATGGATACCTAGATGGTTTTATAGGAATGTTTATTATCAATATCTTTTTTATCAATTGTGCTGAAATGTGGATTTTTTAAAAAATGCATTTAAAAATTGTATCAGTACCACATATTTTAAATAGTAAATGTTTGTTTTGAAATAAGAATTAATGACTGTTTTATACAATTAGGGCTGCTGAAATTCTTTACTATTTCGCCCTGAAACAAGCTCAGAAATACAAGATAAGTAAATTTCTTTCATCATCCCATTACATGGCACTGACAGAAGCCAGAAGAAATTTGGGACTGTTTCAACATCATGATGCTATCACAGGAACTGCAAAAGATTGGGTGGTTGTGGATTATGGTACCAGGTAATATAATTATTAAAAAGTGATTATAAAACAATTTTTTTTTAATTTTGGGTCACAGGCTTATATCTTTGATGAAATTGTTAATGTACATCAGACCATATCAATAATGACATCCCTTATAAGTATTGCTATAGAAAAACAACATCAATATTCAAAGCATTTTTCAAGAATTGTATGGAGAATGTACTAGCTGTCCTAACTTTTTATTGCAGTGCATTTCTGCAAATGGAGTAGTAAAACATTATTATAAAGCTGATTCTGTTTTCTCCCAAGTATAATGTGGTAATTGGGGTTACCTTGTTGACCAGGGATTTGGTATCAAATAAATCATAGCTGTAATCCAAGGAGATAAAGAGCCATACTTGATTGTATAGCAGTTTAATTTCATCCTATTTCATATCCAGTTGTTCTCAGCCTAGAGTTTAGCCAGGAAGTAGAAGAACCTAGAAACTTTGACATATATAGATGATATAAGGAATTGGGATGAGAAGGGTTGGCTTGGGTATTGATATCAAAACCATCTTCAACTCTTAGAAGGTCTGTGAGATGAGTGAGGGAGGGGAAGCTCAGTTATTTTCACATTGCAGGATTGGAAACAGTGAGTACAGGCTTTAGCTCAGAACAGCAGGAGACTTTGTAAATAGTGCTTCCCAATAATCAAAAGGCTTACCTTTTGTGATAGTGAGATTTCCATCATCATGCCCTAGTTTGGGTAACCATTCATTAGGATCATTGTAGAGGAGATTCCTATGTTGGGGAAGGAGTTTTGACTATTATTTCATTATGGCTTAGTTATTATTTCTTCCAGATTTTTTCCTATCAAAAATGGTGTACTTCAATAATATTTTAAAATTGTTAAAGTGTGCTCTGATTTTCTTATAATACAGATTTAAGAAGTGAACCTCTTTTTTTAATAAATGCTCTCTCCCGTATGTTAAAAGTGTATACAACGTATAAAGTCAACATTACAGATTGATCCACAACTGATATCACTAATCATTATAAGTGTTAATTAAAATTTTAGTTATAGTATTTTGACTGCCTTTCTAGATATTTGAAAAACAAATTCTTGAGGTTTCATTAGTTGACTTGAATCCTTGAAAATATATTCATGGTAGCATCTTGAATATCTTCTCAGTTTTCTTGTGGCAAATGTATTTGGCATCTGTTGAGGTTGAGCTGGGCTTAAAATGGAAAACATTCATTGGCTGATAATGATAATTGGTTTTTCTCCCACAGAAGGCATTTTTTAAAATAAGGTCAGATCCTCCATTTTTTTCCTTTTCACCTGCTCCTGTCTTCTTGGTTTATTGAATTTAAAAGTGAGGCTTATATTCAGAAAAGAGTTCCTAAGAGGAAATGAAGAAGTCATTCTCCTATACTGTCTACCTGCTCTCTCTCTGGCTGCCATATTGAAAGAGACTTGGGTACAGGTCATTGAGTTTTTGCAACTGAACATTTTCTATCTCATAACCTTTCCAGAAGGGCTGTCATTAGTTCCTCCATATGTTTGGTTATGCTTTTAGCTTATAAAAACATCACCATACAAAATTGCATCTTAGAGAAAAAAGACAATAATTCTCAAATTATACTTGACATTTGTAAATTTGCTTTGCGAGCACTTCACACTTCATTGAGAAGTCATACACAATTATCAAGTCATTAGCATAGACATTTTAAGTAGGAAATTTCAAAACACAAGTTAGAGAGTTATAAACAAAGAGGCAGCTAGCATTGGGTGCTCTCTTGTTCTTAGACTGTTGACTGTTTATTCAAATGTTGGCAGAAGTGTCCCTGTGAACAAGTGTATGAGTTAAGGATTGCATTTGGCTGCTAGTAATAACAACTTAAAACTGAATAAATCCTATCCTACTTATTTTTATGCCACGTGGAAGAAGTCTGCAGGTCCCCAGTTCAGGTATAGCAGCTCTACAGTGCCGACAGGGGTCCAGACCCTTCTAGCTTTCTCTTCTGCCATCTAAAGGTGATTCTTACTTAGAGTACTGCTCTCAACAGTAGATTGAATGTTTATATAATTATCACCTGGAGAACAAGAATACATCATGGCTATTTGAAGGTTAATTCTAATCATGGCATGAAAAAATGAATTAGAGGGGGACAGTGTTTGTGATGGATGTTCAGCCTAAAAGTGGATAATGGGGCTATGTGCAAGAGAAGAAATGGTAATGAGATCAGTTACAGAAATATTTAGAATTCTGCCTATTTCTATGTTGTAGTTAAGGTAGGTAGGAGAAAAAAATGAACAAAGGGTAAGTATGAGGGCCCATATGTATAGATCAAACTTCACTGACAAACATGATAGTATCTGCCTGAAACAGTAGTAATGATACCAGAGTAGAAAACTGTGATTTCTAAGTGATGGTCCAGTTCAGTGATAATAAAATACGGGCATGTTAGAAAATTAGAGGCTCTGGGAAATCCCACAATGATGAATTGTTGAAACATTAAAATTTTGCTTTACCCAATGTTTCCCAAACTTATTTACTGTGTTTAGTCTTGTTTTGCTTTAAACAGAATGGCTTTATGCATCCTGAGAAAGCATTTGGGGAATACACTACCAGTTCTTAGTGCTTACCTCGTTAGAAGACTGTGCATGTGCCTTTAGGATACAAACATTGATGTGTGGCATTCCCTCAGTTTAAGCTCCAGTGCACTGTAATACATATAAGGTTTTAGCTGATGGAGAACGTGACTTTTTTTTTTTTTAAGATTTTATTTATTTATTTCACAGAGAAAGAGACAGTGAGAGAGGGAACACAAGCAGGGGGAGTGGGAGAGGGAGAAGCAGGCTTCCCGCTGAGCAGGGAGCCTGATGCGGGGCTCGATCCCAGGACCCTGGGATCATGACCTGAGCCGAAGGCAGATGCTAAACGACTGAGCCACCCAGGCGCCCCAAATAATAGATTTTAAAGAATAGCATTGACCGTTCTAAGGAGTCTAGTTTTTTGTTGTTTCGATTTTTTTTTTTAATCAGTGAGGAATTAAAGGTAAACTACAGCTCATAGTAGCCGTTCTAGGAAGGGTAGTGGATCCTAAGTATAAGCTGTATCAGTCTGTTCTCAATTGGACAAGAATTTGGGTTTGGGGTTGTTTTTTTTTTTTTTAAGATTTTTATTTATTTATTTGAGAGAGAGAGTCAGAGAGAGGGCACAAGCAAGGGGAGCAGCAGAGGGAGACGGAGAAGCAGGCTCCCTGCTCAGCAGGGAGACCGACGTGGGGTTTGATTCCAGGAACCTGGGATCATAACCCCAGCCAAAGGCAGACGCTTAACCGACTGAGTCACCCAGGCACCCCAGGAATTTGGTTTTGATTGACTGTTCTTATACCAAAGAAAAAATGAAAAATAACAATACTTCTGGAATATTATGCATGGGCAATTGTGACTAATTTATTTAAAATTATTCTATCTTTAAATAGCTCTAATATTAAATTAAAAAACCAAGAGAATTATCATATATTTACAAAGAGAAAATAAAAGACTATCAGGGAGGCAGGTGGGTGCATCAGAACCAGGTAGGAGCCCAGAAATCCCCATGCCAGCTTTCATGTTCTTCCCTTACTTTTTAGCTATATGGTAAAATTAGGTCCAAGAACTTTGTAAACTCTTAATGCATTATATTAATTTCAGAATATTTTTTCTAGAACCAGAGAGGTACATTTGGAAGAAAATTTCACAGTTCTGAAAATCTGATGCTACTTAAGTAGTTCGCAATGCAAGCCTAGCTCGTCATGCCATTGTTGAGCTTCTGCAGCCTGTAATGCTTAAGAAAATATAATTCCTTCAAAAAAAAAGAGAAAATATAATTCTTCATAAATGCTTTCAATGTGTTCCTATGTCACAGAAGTATGTTCTGTTCCTGATTTTTCTTGACAACTAGATTCGAAATGACGAAACCTTAAACCAGTGGTTGCCATAGTTTTTTCAAGTTTGTAAATTTGCTTTATATTCAGTTCTTTCTAGTAAAAGGGCAGTGTGTTTTATAGACTAGTAAACCTAAGTGTGATTAAGCAATTCTCTGAATCCTGCTTTCTGTTTGCTTAGATGACTCCCTGTGGTCATCCTTGCCACCTGCCCGACCCCTGAACATTAGGGGGCCACGGTTATAATAAACGTTTGCCTGGGAAAATGTCACTGCTGTAGAATGAATGGTATTTCTAATAAATAGCACATGGACAATATAGAAGGGTTTTAATTAGAAATTTTTTAAGACTTTTTTTTTTTTAAAGATTTTATTTATTTATTTGAGAGAGAGAATGAGAGAGAGCACATGAGAGGGGGGAGGGTCAGAGGGAGAAGCAGACCCCCCGCAGAGCAGGGAGCCCGATGCGGGACTCGATCCCGGGACTCCAGGATCATGACCTGAGCCGAAGGCAGTTGCTCAACCAACTGAGCCACCCAGGCGCCCTAATTAGAAATTTTTATAGCTGGGAGGGAATGTTTGTAGATCACCTAGGCCAGTCAAGTTGTAAACATTTTTATTTTCTATTTTCAGCACTTTTTGTCTAATGAAAAACCTTATACTCCATTTTTATAGCATGCGCCTGTTCTGATACCTTGTAAGGTTTTGTTTTCACTTGAGATTGCAAATATCAGGTGGTATGTATTTGCCATTTGGGAAATGATAATAAACATCCCTTGGAAAAGTTAAAAGCTGAAATTTTTTCTTAAAAATGTCATTTCCTCCTCAGCCTTATGTTTACACAACACTGCCCTTTGTCAGAGTGCAACGTGGAAGGTTTTACTCAGACGTGACTTGCTTTTTGGAACATGTTACCCATAGGGTCCGACTGTACAACATCCAAGGTAAGAAAACAAAGCAATAGCTGTGAAACATGTACTCTGGTTCTGGAATTCTTTGTGTGTCATTTTTAATAAACTAGCAATTGGTTTTTTGTGTGGGGTTTTTTTGTTATGTTATGTTAATCACCATACATTACATCACTAGTTTTAGATGAAGTGTTCCATGATTCGTTGTTTGTGCATAACACCCAGTGCTCCATGCAGTACGTGCCCTCTTTAATACCCATCACCAGGCTCACTCATCCCCCCACCCCCTCCCCTCTAGAACCCTCAGTTTGTTTCTCAGAGTCCATCGCCTCTCATGGAGCAATTGGTTTTTGAACATGGTATTTATGGTGGTCTTTCCTAAACTTGTCATTATACTCACTGTGTGGTTTAAAAATATACTTAGCCTTTTGATAATCAGAAATGGTAAAACATTTAACTCTACATATGTATGTTCTTTCCCTATATATATCTCCTCTTACGTCTCATAATATTTGTCTTGGTCATGAGTTCATTAATTGGAATCTTTATTTCTAAGATCTAAAAACAGTGGGGTTTTTTGTTGTTGTTTTAATTTTACAAAATGGGAATTCTGTCAATTACGGCTTTCAGTTAGTAGATCATTGACCGTCTCTGACATGCACACACCCCCCCCACGTATGGCCTGCCTTAAATATGGAATGTATTACAATAGCAGGTGTTACTGGAATTTAACTTTCTTTTAAGAAAAACGTTCGTTACTAGTTCTTTCTGTTTACAAGTCTTTACCTGGGAGAGTATAAAATCGGGCGATTGTTTATTGCTTTTAGGATGGGACTGATGAGCAGCATCTTTATCAACCAAGTGACAGTAAATAGGCTTTTAATCCTCTTAGGGACTTAACCATGGGCAGTGGTTCTTGTCCTTCCTTAGGATTTGGATGGAGCCGTGGCTCCCAGACACCCTCAGAGTTGCACATTTATGTTGGTTCATGTTGAATTCACTTTTTTTAGAATGGAGTACTTTTCCAACCACAAATGTAATCCTAGTAACCAGACCACTTAACCATGGTATAAACTCTCTTAGAAAAGGACCTCATAAAAATGCCACTTTAGATTCTTCTTTGCTGTTAGCTAGGCTGAAAAAGTTAGAAAAGGAAATATTGTTTCCTTGAATCTTTATACCAGTAGATAATAAAGCGTTTGAAAACTAATGATAAAATATATGGGCAGGCGCTGTTTGCTTTTTGGGTTTTGTGGGGAAGCAAAGGGTACTGTGTTCAGGGAATGTTCACTTTGCTACCTACAAGAAAGTCTGAAATAATCTTTTATTGAGTTTTATTGAGTTTTCTAAAATCTCTGGTAAGCCAGAAACAATATTTTTGACCATCCTTTTCTACTCTTGCATAAGCCATTGTTCAACATCTCTGAGAGCTCTAAAATTATACCTTCAGCTACGGCCAGAGGTTTCATTTTATGGGTAGAAAGTAGCATCCCCATCACACAGGAGATGTGCTTATCTGCTTTTAGATTTGCTTAAAAAACTGTTGCTTGTAATGGAATGTTTCTTCCTTGAGTACAGCATGGCCCCCACTTTGGCCCAGGCCTGTGTCATCAAGCATGGTTTACTGTTGTTTTTCCTTAGGTCTACTTAGGAGGTAGGCTGTGTGACAGAGTTAATGCTGAAGCAGCTCGCCAGAGAATTCCTACTTCTCAGTCAAGTCCGTTTGCTTAATTGCTTTTCTTTTTGTTTAAATGAGTCTGTCACCATCATTGCAGCCTCAGAGTTTTCGCAGGTTGTCCAGGGGATCTGGAGCTCATCACAGAGGATGGTTTCCGTAAATTAGAGGGCCCTCTTCTGCTGCTGTGACTATAAGCTTAGTTTGCCGTCATAGCCCAGTGGTTGATTTGGAAATTAATAGGCTCTGACTTGACTGTGTACTCAACCCAACAAACATGCATTTACCAGGCCCTAAAAGCTTTTCTTTTCTCCTCTTTCCTTCTCCCCAGCTAAGCAGTCCAAAATGTCCAATGGCTGACTAGTAGCCCCTTTGCAGAACCAGGAACCACCAAGATTTAACTGCCTCCCAGCCCTCCAAGGTGACAATGCCAGTGGATTGGTCAGTTAAGAAAGAGAAGTTGTTCTCAACTGGACGCTTAGAGTATTAGCATAACAAAAATAATAATAATAAAATAAGAATACAGACCTCGAATTGCCTCTGGATGTCACATGGGTGGAATAAACAGGGTGAAGCATTTGGATGAGATTTCTGTAGCTTGAAAGCAGAAAGCTTCAGAAGTTGGTGGGAAACAACAGATAAATAAGTTAGGTATAACGTGAAGTTAACTTAGAGTGCTTCTCCAGATGGGTTTTACTGTTCTTGGCCTGGATTGAACCTGAAACCAGCGTGTATAACCATTCGAAGTGACATAGCGATCTTTATTTTTGCTCTCTCAAGCCCAGAGTGTTTATATTTTTTGTTTTTTTCCAACATGAAAGCGATCGGTGGGAGATGGAGATACCAGTTCACCTGAAAGGCTTTCATTCAAACTATACATCCTTCTATGTTTGTATCTGAGCCCCTCTCAACAAATCTCCCTCTTGGAAAAAATAAGCCCCGTTGTGGAGAGAGAGCCTCTTCTCAGTCGCCTTCCTGACCTCCCTCCATCTGTCGTTTTCTTTCACATACCGGTGCATGAAGGCTCAGGTTGTCTGGATCCTGGCTCATTGGGGTTTTAATTAAATCACTGGTCGAAACCTAAGGAAGAGATGTGAGGTCTTCAGGGTGTTTGGATGTCGACGAGTTCAAAGTGCCTGAATGGGGTCTGGTTATGCTGCACCAAAGCAGCCATACTGTGAAATACTTGAAAGCTCTTCGGTGTTTTAAACTTCGGCCTCATGTAAACCAGGTATCTGGGCGATTGATCAAAATCCATGGACAGGATGTAGCTTTTCGTCTTAGGTGTAGAGAAAACATCAGCCAACTTCCATGCTTTTGTCGAGTGGCTTGTGTTTAATATTTCTTGAAAGAACGTAAATACCTACTTTCAAATTTAACTTTCTAAATTGTCTTTGGATGCATGCTAATTGTGCCCCCTTTAAATAAACTGACCAGATGCAGTTATTCGGATGAGTATTAATGAATAGAGCCTGTTTGTTGTTAGTACCAAATTTATGAGCCAGAAAAAAATGGGGCTTGGGGGAGAGAAACTATTAATATTTTATGATTAGGTACTATAATGGTATTAGGTTACTAAACCATTAATTATACAAAAGATTTTATTACCTCTCAGCAACAAGGATAAAGAAACAGAAAGAGTTGATATTATGGAATATCTGTCTTTGTTGAGAGTCTATATTAAATGTTTCAAATTCAGTTTACTTGAAATATTCTTTTAAAAAAACTAAAGTAATACAAACCTGATAAAGTATCCTTAAATTCCTCAGTCTCTATTTTAGTTACTCTTTGACCGTTTTCTCCCCCAAAGTAACCTTTGGCTCCAATTAAGCTTTGGGAGAGAAAAGAAAAGCAAGAACAGAAATCAAACAGCACTTCTTAGATTATAAAAACTGTGTGGTCATCATTGATTTTGCAACAAACTGAGTTGGGAGGCGTAGGTTCAACCAACTTTGTTTTTTTGTTTTTTGTTTTTTTCTTGGTGTTTTATATTTAAGTTTTAGTGTCTATTTGTGTTCTCTCCAGATTCTGAAAATGGTCAGAGGTGCAGTTTAGAGTCCTCTCTTAACATCATTTAAGCTATTAAAAAACACTCTTGTGTTTCTTTTCATTATTGTTCAAACATTACATTCAAAACGTTTCTAGAAATATTAAATTAGAGGAAATCTTGTGCTCACTAGCTTTAAAAGCTCTACAAGATCAGAGGGATTTGAAAGAGTTCTAATGCAACACAATGTATCGCCTTCTATCAGGTTAAATAAGAAATCCATTTTGTAGCACCCATAATTTAATGAAATGCCCCTTTGGAACTATTTTTTTTTTTAATTTTTCAAAGATTATATTTAGTTTGTAGAAAATAACATTTTTCTGGAGGAAAAGATGGGAGAAATGAGGATTAATTTTTCTTGCACTATAATCATCTTTCATTAAATTGAAGCTTTTCGTGTCACTAAGGCTACTTTAGCTTTTTTTTGTTAATCTTGATATGGAAGATAGAATGTGATACAGGCAGAAGCCCCTGTATCCCCTTACGTTATATTTGTTTCATCACAACAAGTGCATACCTTGCAGTGACATCATGATCAGTAAGTGACATTTGCTAGCTGTGGCTTCATTTGTCTTTGGAGTTGTAATTATTAGACTTTGGTGCCCTAGTTTTTTGACATCAACAGCTACTTTGAAGAATGAGGTTGCTATGGGTTACCAGTGTGTCCTGTACATTTTCACTAGCACAAGGTTCAGGTTCCAGATCGGTTAAAATATATACCTTCAAGCTTCCCCCCGCCTCTCCGCCCCAGGACTACGTTCTCCTAGGCGGGTGTTTGTGAATGAATGAGTATGTGTGCAAACCATGTTTCAACCCTTAAGAGAAATATCTAAATGCAATACTTTTGCCTATTTTCCACCAACATACTATGAAAGTACTATATGTAATGGATCTTGCTAAAAGAAAGCAAGTAGCCTGGAGGTAAAATGTAATGAACTGCCATCAAAAAGTATGGAAGAAAAGACTTTCCTTTGGCTGCAATGACTGAGTAATTTCCTTGCATGGGCACATTTAGCATTCAAAAAGAGGTCGCTTAGTTTTTCTCTGTTTTGAATATGTAATGTGATTGGATTCATAACATGACCCTTGACTTTTAGAAAGTCAAAATGAACTCCATCTAGTTAAACACATAAGAGAATCACACTGGGAATTAGAGGTCTGAATCCTCAGTTGTGCCTTGAAGCCAACCAGTGACCTTGAGTTTGTCCTTAGATTTCTTACGGACTCAGTTTCTTAAACTGTAGAAAGACTAGATAGATGGCCAATTAGGTATAACCATTAAAGAGTCTTCACAAAACTTAGTATTACATAAAG